GCATTTTGTTATGTGTTCTCAAAGAGAAAAACTTTCCCAGAGTTTTCCAGGCCTCAGCTTGTCTAGATTTGTGCTAAGGAAGCAACAGAAAAGTTGGGAAAATATTGGTGCCTCATCTAGCCTGCGTAACTTGTGACCCACCAGGCTGAAAGGAGCCTGTCAAGCAATGCATTTTAGCAAGGCAACCCACTTTGCTTTCCATGAAATCTCAGGTGCTCTTGCACCTGCCAAACCAAAGGGGCTGCCAATTACCCAGCAGGTCACAATAATATATGGCTAGTCAGGTACCCTTGGCTTAGGTCCCAAGCTGTGCCAGCCTAGCTTGCTTTATTTATTTATTAGAATATTTTTATCCCGTCCATTGCAATGGTAGCTCTGTGTGCCATGGAAGAAGAAATCTTTCTGCCAAACTAAAAATAAAAGCCAAACAGACCCGGGTGCTTATTCGGCTGGTGTGCAGCCACGTTCCAGGGAGAGTGGGTCCTGGGATCCCTCAGTAGTTCAACTTAGCCTACTAACAGAAGAGCTGCTAGTCTGCCAGAGCTGATCATTGCTATCAGATGGAATAGAGTCCCAAATCCTACAATTACAACTGCAAGCAGGCTGAGGAAGATCAGAGGGAAGGACTGTGTCTGTGTTCAGGAGCCTGGGGATGAAAGGCTTGCGTGAAGAGCTACAGCTTCTCTCCTTAAAACTGCATTCACTTGCTGCACCAGAGGAGCATCTCGGGGTCAAAGGGAGCACCAGAGCCCTTGCCTATTTTTAGCTGTCCTGTGTTTTGCAAGCTCCTTATTTAGCAATCCAGCATAACGGGAGTCTTGCATGTGTGTATATCAGTATGTGCGTGAGAGTTTGGAGAGGATTGTGACAAGAGATTTATTTTATTTTATTTATTTATTTATTTGTTTTATTTAAAACATTTCTATGCCGCCCCATTCGCCGAAGCCTCGGGGCAGCTCACAACATAAATTAAAATATAATACATTCAAAATATAAAACAAATTAACAATATAAAATAAGTCACCCTGGCCATAAGATGCATTCATGGAACATATTCCTTTGCCTTGCACCAGCCAGGCAACTGCTTCTCTTCTCCTGTGGAAAGGCCTAGAGATAGCAATGAATTGTCCCTTTTCAACAGGGCTTTCCCTCCCTGTAGGCCTTCTGGTTATCCATTATCTTCTCAGGCTTCTGGTAGCAGCAGAGAAGAGAAAGTGTCACTTCCCATCACAGCATGGATTAATGTTCCCTGCCAAGCCTTTGCTCCCTGCTGCACCTGAGAAATACTAGGGAAGGCTCTCCTTCCAAGCCAAGTCTTGTCTACAAAAGCATTCTAATGGTAGGCACATACCCAACATGTCAGAGATGCATTTGCAACTGCCTTCCAAATCAAGCCAGTCAGATAGGGCTCCTGGCTAAACTGACTAGGCTTGCATGACAAGACAATTCATCCTGAGGGGCTACTCACAATGGTCTGTCAGCCCAGACTGATTTTCCCAGGATGGGTTCCACATGGCCTCTAAGAAAAGCATTGACTGTTACAGTCATTGTTTTACCAATGTTGGGTTGTTGTGTCATCTGAACCCCAAAAACTAACACCATTGTGGAGTGTGGTGATCATTTTTGCTTGTTATTTATATTTTTCATATTTTGCACTTTGTCCCAAGCCTCTAGATGCTCTGCCAAGTGCAAGTGTACCCTCTTTATCCTCCTTTTCCCCAAGGGGATTTGTCATTTCCCACAAGTCAGCCACCTTCCTAACAAAGAAAAGGTGTAGTACTCAAGGACTGAGCCATTCTGGATCTGCTGTGGTCATCCATCTCTCTGAAGGAAGATGACAACTGCCCTCTTCTTGGTCCAATTTATTCAGCCTCCACTGAGCTGCTGGTTGCTGAGTGCAGCTTCTTCATTCAAGGGTACTTCAGCCTTCAAAACCAAGGAGAAAAGACAAGAACAAGCTGCTGCTGGGAAGACGGTCGGGTACAGAGCAAAGAAACCAGACTACTAGGCTGCATCATGGACCATAGAACAAGGTTATGAGAACCAATAGAAGCTCTTCGCTTCACTGTACTTTCCACAGGAAGCTCAGAATGTCTTCCTGTGTCCTGACACTAGATCCGGACAATGCAAGGGAAAAACATGTCTGTGCAGAATACTACTTAAGCGCCTGGTGCCCTCCAGATGTGTTGCACTTCCACTCACATGATTTCCAGCCACAAAAGTGCATTCAAGGGTTCAACGCACTCCTTTCAACAACTCTGTAAGGTAAATCAGTATTATTGCCTCCCATACTGCACATGGCAGAGGCTCTGGCTGAGAAAGAAGAGCTTACCAAAAGACAAGTAGGGAGTCTAAGGCAGAGGTAAGTTTGGACCTAGAGATGTCAGTCTCTTCACCATGACACTAGTTCTCATAAAAGCATACAGCGAGCAGTGTAATCAGAAGCCACAGGCAATTATAGTCCCAGGCATATTTTGTCATGTGTTTTCAGACTCCAGGCGTATGAAAGCAGCCCCTTTAGAGAACCAGCTTATGGCACTGGGGAGCATGTTCCTGGCTGCATGGCAGGGCTGCAATGCACCATCACATCCCATGGACACCAGGAGCTGCATGAGAAGCCATCACCAAGGCAGTCCCCTGGATCTGGTGGGATGATCTTGCCAATAGTATGCATGTCAATCTGTTTTTTCCGTGAGTTGGTGATTAGCTCTCCAGGCCTCTGAGTCCGGGAGACCAGATTCTCTTCATATATGGCATTGTTTGAGGCTCGATAGAGCTCCCTGAGCCAAAGAGGAGAAAGGCATTGAAGCTCGAGAAATGCCAGGGTGCTCCTGAATGAGATGATATGAGGGAGTTGCCCAGCCTCATTTACAGACTTTTAGAAGAAGACCAGCCAGTGTGGCCAGTTACTCATAGTCCTCCTGGGCTCGCCCACAGAAAAGCCACTCAGTTAGAAAGATAGCACATCTGCACAACACTGACAGATTACTCATGCAAGGATCCTGCCATTTGGCAGCACCCACTGTCTGCTGAATGCAACTGAATGTACCTCCTTTTTGCAAAAATCTGATTTGAATTCCATAGGCTCATCTCAAGGTGCAGCACATTAGTAAATTGATTAGTGCACTTAGTCACTTGTTAGCATATCAGCACGCTGGATTTGGACAGAACTTCCCCTTCTGGGTCCTTCCAAGCCACTTGTACTTGTGAGAGGGGCAGGTGGTTGCTGCTTGAAGAGAAGGCTGCTACCCTCCCACTTCCTGCTTTGTCTCCTTTGAGTCTTTGCCTCCTCTGCATCTGCTTCTTGTTCAGTATAGCCCTACTGGTGACAAAAGGTTGTATTCCTGCAGACTAGACTTTGCACTCTGCTTTCCGTTTTGTCTGCTGTGATCTTGGAGAAAACAAACCAAGTCTCAAAGGTTGTGTATTCTCTAAGAAACTTTTAGATAGCAGTGATGGCCAATATCTGGTGTGGTTTAAATAGGATGGCTAGATGCAGTAGAGAACAGGGTGCTCCTGAACCTTTAATAGTGTAATACCTATACAATTAGGAAAAGCTGCAAGTGGTTGTCCGCTTTTGCATCTGAGCTGCCACTGCGTAAATGGCTCCCACACATGGTGAGGGGGCCAGTTTCCTCTCTCTTTACTATGCCGTGCTCATTTCTAGGGAGAACTGGCCTCAGGATATCTTTGGAGCCATTGTGCATTGAGAAGGGTGGGTACAACAGAGCCAAAGAGAAGAAGCCATATGACTGTGATGGGAGTTTCCTATAGGCTCTGTGGCCACACACAAAGTAGTGCCCTGCCATTGCCTCTGCCCCATTGCTGAGCCATCCCTGGTAGGTGGTGGTGCTGTTGAATGGTTGAACCCCATCCTGAGAGTAGGGGTTAGAGGCCACTGGGCTTCATTAGGCACTTTTTTTGCCCAAGGTGCATCCTACTGCAGCAAAGCCATGGTCTTGGGCTCTCTTTGGGTAGGTGTGGCAGCCATTTACTGCCCAGGAGTTAGTGGGGGTCCAGTTCATTTGGAACCCAGAGACCTTGAAGGTCCCATTCCTGCGCTGCCATCCTGGCATTACTCTGCAGCTCTGGGTCCTCCCTGGCATTCCTGCCTCTTTCCCTGGCCAAAATGGAAGTTCCATGTACATTCTGACCTGCCCATAAAATTAGTGGCATCAAACGTCAGGGCCTAGCTGTGAGCAAAGCTTTTAAAAAACAACAAGAACAGCAACGAATACACAATTGGTCTGATGGCAAAATTACTTTAATGAGCAATTAAAGGGCTGGTGGAAAGCTGCGCCCGCCCTCCTCCCCAAAAGATGGCTCACAATACTGGAAGGCAGGACGCCACCAGCCATCTTGTAAAAATGCTTTGCCAGTCCAGACTGGGCCACCTGTGGCTGCAATTATCTTTCAAATCAAATTGCTGCCAGCCCCAACTGAAGAAGGCAAGAGAACAATCTGAAAAGTTCCGGAATGGAACATCTTGGCAACGGTCCCTGAATTTGAATTCACTGGACTTCTGTGGTAGTTATTATCGCATCTGGATCCCACTGGTTTACACCGTCTTTCTCCAGTCCGTCCCAACTGCTCTGTGAGGTTGGTTCAGTGACTGGCCCAGAAGTACCTGATGAACTCCAGGGCTCCCAGTTCGATACTCTTGACTACTCTACCACAGTAGCTCAACAGCAAGATTCTCAGTAAGTGAACATTTATGAAACAGTTGGTTTCAATTCTATTAATGAAACGGTGGGTTTGGAATCAATGGGATCTCCTTTCCCCTGCACAAAGAGAAAAAAGCACCTCCACTTTCTGTCCAGCAGATGGTATCCCCCCCCCCCCCCCAGCAAGGGCTAGCTGGTACATCTGAATTCATGTGGTTCCCATGCTTACCTAGGAGGCTGGGACTGGGCTGCCTGTGGGGTTGGGCTGGGAGCTCGTGGGGTGGGGGGATCCCAGCTGTATGGAAAGCTTTGGCTACATGGTTGATGTCTGGGGACATGACCAACCAGCCCGGGCATAATGACAGCTGGCCAGGTATGCCCTACAATTCCCTCCCTTGAGCCTTAAGCTCATCTAGCTTCTCCCAGACTCCCCTTAAGGGCTATACTTGATTCCACTGTTGAGTTTCTGAATCTCTGTGAATGGCAGGTGGCGCTTGATAGTTGCAGCATGCACCTTACCTGTTCTGACTGCACAGCAGGTGACAGCCAGGAGTGCTAGCACAATGAGGGCCTCTCTGGTGACATGCGCCAGCCAGCTGAGGTCAGACAGCCAGGACCACAGCTAATCCCACCAGCCCCCTCCTTCCCAGTCCTTGGGAGCCAGGTGGGGGACACTAAGGATCTGGTGCCCAGTCTTTCCCACCAGTTTGCCATTGCCATTTATTTGGTGGCAATATGCCCTTTCTCTGGCCTCTTTCCTTGGCCAAAATGGAAGGTCCATGTACATTCTGACCTGCCCATAAAATTAGTGGCACCAAACATCAGGGCCTAGCTGTGAGCAAAGCTTTTAAAAAACAACAAGAACAGCAACGAATACACAATTGGTCTGATGGCAAAATTACTTTAATGAGCTATTAAAGGGCTGGTGGCAAGCCGCGCCCGCCCTCCTCCCCAGAAGATGGCTCACAATACTGGAAGGCAGGACGCCACCAGCCATCTTGTAAAAATGCTTTGCCAGTCCAGACTGGGCCACCTGTGGCTGCAATTATCTTTCAAATCAAATTGCTGCCAGCCCCAACTGAAGAAGGCAAGAGAACAATCTGAAAAGTTCCAGAATGGAACATCTTGGCAACAGTCCCTGAACTTGAATTCACTGGACTTCTGTGGTAGTTATTATCGCATCTGGATCCCACTGGTTTACACCGTCTTTCTCCAGTCCGTCCCAACTGCTCTGTGAGGTTGGTTCAGTGACTGGCCCAGAAGTATCTGATGAACTCCAGGGCTCCCAGTTCGGTACTCTTGACTACTCTACCACAGTAGCTCATCAGCAAGATTCTCAGTAAGTGAACATTTATGAAACGGTTGGTTTCAATTCTATTTTTAAGAGGGTGTGAAAGCAGCTGGATCTCCTTTTCGCAGCACAAACAGAAAAAAGCACCTCCACTTTCTGTCCAGCAGGTGGTGTTCCACCCCTAGAATGAGCCTGCCCGGGCCCTACCGCTTTCATTCCAGAGTGATTTGACTTAAAAATAAATGCAGGGCTCCTGTGTAGCAATGTGTGTCAACATTTCCCACTTCACAGCCCCTCCGTTTGTCTGCCTTGGACACAAATGTGCAGAGTTTACTTACAGGGTCCATTTTCAGAAAGCACAGCAAGGTCCCAGACATACTGAAGCGGCAGGCTGTTCAAGTGTGCATCTTCCTCACTTTCTAGCAGAAGCAGAGGCAATATTAAAGGATGGCCCCCTCGGACTGAATCCTCAAATATTTCAGTTGGAGTCCTAACTCTTTTCTGCAGGGTCACCATCTGCTCCATCACGGGGCTGTCCAGGGGCATGTGTTGAAAGAAAGGTCCAGGGCACTGATGATCTTTGTTGCTCTCAAACCCCCTGAATGAGCTGGCATTTTGCTCACATGTGCTTCACCTCCTGGTTCCTCACCATTTGACTTTCTCTGCCTGAGACTGATTCTGCAATGAAACCCTCTACTTTACTCTACCTATTATTATGCACTCAGTACTTTAAAGGTTGAATGTTTTTTCTACTATATATTTTCATATACTGAAGACTATGTTTTATTTAAGTGCTGTTACGTTATTTGTCCTTTGTAAGCCATCTAAAGATCCATTCCAGATATAAGAAGGGACAACAATGCTTTAAATTAATTAAATAATACACATGCACACACACATACTCACTCTAGAGTGCATGTCAATTTGTGCCAACATTTTGTCATCTCTTTTTTGTTTTGCTTTCTGTTCCATAGGCCTGTGCCCTGGATCTTTTGTATACCTAGAGCCAGCCCTGAACAGAGTGATTCTATATGGAGGGTGCTATACATGTTCTACTCCAGGGTTGGATATCCCACCCCACATTTTCTATTTCTCGAGCATACACATACCTTGCATGACAACTGAGCGTGGCCAGATCTCACTGGGCTCTTTGGGGTGGAATGGGGGTTGCCCCCGTAGGTACAGATTTATTTTTATTTTATTAGTACTTCTGCAAACCTCAGGTTCTCCTAAAGCTCTCTTGACACCTCTGTTTTGGCTTCAGTCCTGTCAGAGGAATCAGACAGCTTCTGACAGACAGACCTGTCAGCTCTGGTTGCTAAGAAGGGACCATCAAGACCAGTGCCCAGGTACAGGAGACCACAAAAAGAACACCTTTCTCCTTCATGCCCTGCTTCAGAGTCTGCCTCGGAGCCTGGCCTCTGCTGGAGATCAACTGCTGAACCAGGCATTTGTGTTCTTAATATCAGTCCCACCGATGCCTAACACGCACCCAGAAACCCACATTACTTTGATACATTCATCTGCTTAACATGCTTCCCTTGCACCCCCAGTATGGCCGTCACTGAAATTTGCTGAAATTTGTGGCAGCAAAAGCTGTAGTCCAGTGTCCACAGGGGGCAAACTGCCAAAGATACCTGAAGTAGCCAAATCCTCCTTGTCTTCTATGAGATTTGCCACTTCTAGGCTTCTGGGATGGTTTGACACCGGAAATCAGTGGCAACCCAGTGGCTTTTTTTTCCTGGCACCCTGTGGAGTGCAGCCCATGGGGGGGGAGGGCTGAAAATGACCCCAGACCTGTTAAAGCTGCCCAGCCCTGATCTGTATTGCTTCAGACAGAGGTGTCTCAAAACATTTGTGAATGCTAAGCAGAGATCATATGCTTATCATTGCCAGTTGTGTGAACTGAACAGACTGTGCAGTTGACATAGCAAGTATCATAGTAGATGTTATAGCCATGGGGAGAGAGAGGGGGAGGTGTTTGTTTCGCCTTTTGCTTCTTTGCTTTGCTTTGTGTTTGTTTCCTGCTATTCTGGTTTAGCACACAAAGGCCAAACTGAAAGTGTGGGAAGCTGCCAACAGGATCTGCCATAAATAAGTATCTTCTGGTCAGCTGTGGGAGTTCATGGGTTATTACCACCTTGCTTGCCAAAGCTCCCAAAAACAGTAGCAGCATCCCTAGTCCATGTGGGTAAGGAAGGTGGAAGAGGGAAGAAAGCCGAGATCTGGACCACAGAGGATACGCAGCAGCCCTGCTGGGAAGAGAGCATACAATCTGCACATCCTGCTAGCTAGTTCCCTTGAGCCTGAAAGCATCTTTTTTAGGAATAATAGCATACTTCCAATTCTCTCTCTCTCTCTCTCTGTCTTTCTCTCTCACACACAGACATTAATAGCAAATTCAAGTGCTGGGTTAAGGCAGCTGCATTGCCCAAGTGGGGCTACTGAGATATAAGAAGAGATACCAGCTTGTTCAAGAGAATCCCAATGTTTGCAGAGGTGAAACATCTTTAGGAGTTTCATCCAGACCTGTCATTTTGCTAGTGGAAGCACACTGCTTATGGAATGGGGCTTCTGTGCCCTCTTTCCCGCCACCCTATGCCCTGCAAAGAACTCTTCAGGGCAGATCTGAAGGGTGCTTCTGTGGGCCAGGAGACTTCAGGGAAAAGCAGGTTGCTTACCTGTAACTGATGTTCTTCGAGTGGCCATCTGTGCCGTCACACATATGGGTACTGCGCCTGTGCAGTGCCTTTGGCCGGAAGATTGATAGCTAACGGTTTTTGGCGGGAAGCTCCGCTCCCCCTCCCCCTTGTGCCTATAAAGAGCGGAGTGTCCACCATTTTGTTCAGTCTTTGCGACCAAACGTACGGTATCTTAATGGATTTGTTTTTTTTTTGCCGGTACCGTAAAGGAGATGGTTGGTACCGAAAGTGCCCTCTCTCATCGACATTGAGCTGTCGATGCATCCACTCACCGACACCAAGCGGGGCCAGCGGGCGGGTTGTGTGACTGCACAGATGGCCACTTGAAGAACATCAGTTACAGGTAAGCAACCTGCTTTTCTTCGTCGTGGCCTCTGTGCATCACACATATGAGTAGATTAACAAGCTTACCATCAAAGGAGGAGGGAAGGTGTTCTCATCGAAGAACGGAGGAGAGAACAGCTCTACCAAAGGAGCAGTCCCGTCGAGCCCAAACATTGAGACGGTAATGCTTGGCGAAAGTGCAAGGATTCGCCCAAGTAGCAGCTCTGCAGACGTCATCAGTCGGAACCCCGGATGCAAATACAGAAGATGTAGCGACAGCTCTAGTAGAATGGCCTCAAGGAACTGAAGGCAATTCGAGCTTAGCTAACTGAAAACACAAGACAATAGTGTGGACTATCCATTTAGAAAGCCTTTGTGGAGTAACTGGGTCGCCCTGAACTCTAGCCGAATATTTAATGAACAGTTTATTGGATCGCCGAATAGACTCTGTTCGCGATCGATAAAAGGCTAAACAATGCCGAATGTCGAGGGAGTGCAAGGATCTTTCCAAGGGATTCGACGGCGATGGAAAAAAGGCAGGCAGTACAATGTCTTGTCCTGTATGGAAAGGTGTAGAGACTTTGGGCAAGAAAGATGGGTCGAGATGTAAAACGACCTTTTCTCTGTGGAAGTTTAGATAAGGAGGGTCGATGCGGAGGGCACAAAGTTCACTAGCTCTCCGGGCTGACGTGACAGCTACAAGGAACGCCGTCTTCCCCGAAACTAATCGGAGATCCACAGTCGCCAAAGGTTCAAAGGGGGCCTTCATAAGGGCCTGTAGAACTACAGAAAGTGTCCATGTGGGCATAACCGGTCTAATCGATGGATTAAGATTATACAGTCCTTTCAAAAATCTCTTGAGGATAGGATGAGAAAATAGGGGTGATCCGTCGACTAAGCCACAGTAGTAGGCTATTGCGGCCGT